GGGAACGGGGAACGGGGAACGGGGAACGGGGAACGGGGAACGGGAAATGGGAAACGGGAAACGGGAAACGGGAAATGGGAAACGAAAAACGAGGATCGGGAAACCGGGAACGGGAGTCTGGGAACGAGTGTACAGCGGTAACTCGCCTAAGAATTCAACATGGCGGACAAAGGAAAAGAAAAGGGAACAATTTGGGGGAAATGTAAGGAAGTGTTACGGTTGTAAACTTTACTTTCTACCACCTGTGCCTCAAAGTCCAATATGGTACTGAGAAAAACAAAGCATGAAATAGCGCCTGGGGAGAAAATCGAATCGGTATTATCACATGCTAATCCAATCGGTCAGTACAAAATGCGGACTGCAGACCGGGTACAAAATGTAGACTAGGTACAAAATGCAGACTGCAGACTGGGTACAAAACGCAGACAGAGAATAAAGACTGTTTCCCGTCTGATACGTGACATACCGAGTGTCACGCAGTCGCTTTTCCGCGGTCATCCTTAACCAACATTAGCAGTTTGTGGAATATTCCTTGCTCGTTTCTTCATGTATTTTGTCTTTAACAAAGCGGCCAGGCCACAGGTTATTTATCTACTGCGCACCTGATTTGCCAGCTGACTTGTGGATCTCCGAAAGGCCGCCTTTCTAGCTTCCGAATGTGAAGACAGCGGACGACCCACGTTCAATGATGCTCATGTGTTATGTCACTTGTCCTCGATATCATATTGCGTGTTGCTATTTTAAAATATTGATATGACAGCTCGCGCACAAAGTGAGAAGATATGAGTGGACTATGAAGGCTTGAAATTCTATGTAAGAAAGACTGTGGCCTGACCAATTGGCGGACATAGCTTGTGATAATACATGATAATGCCGATTCGATTTTTACCCCAGGCGCCATTTCATGCTTTGTTTATCCCAGTACCAATCGAACTCTGCTCTAACAAGGACGTAATGGGCCATGATCTGGTGGCACAGCCGGTAGAAACTCGCGTTAACAACCGCAACCCTTCGTCACATTTCCCCAAATTATTCCCTTTTCTTTTCTTTTGTCCGCCATGTTGGATTTTCACGCGAGTTACCGCCGTACACTCGTTCCCAGACTCCCGTTCCCGGTTCCCGGTTCCCCGTCCCCCCTTACCACTTTCAGTAACATCCCCTTTTTAGAAGTATTTTCTTTCATGTTGTTCAAATTCAGACATAGATAAAAACACACTCATTTTCATTTCACGTAGCTTTGAGCAAAAGATGTCGGCGCCAGCTTCCGAAGGAAAGCCAAAAAAAGCTTAACTATTGGGTATTTCGAAGACATTTCAACAGAAAATATTTTTATGCACATCTTTATAAGTTTACATTTTTTCTCGATCGTCGGTTAAAATAGCTGAATTATCGTATTTTGCTTTTAGAGCTATGGAGTGGACTGAAGATCATGATGTTATTTTGCTTCGAGAAACCCTGGCGAGAGATTTGTTTTCATTCAAAAAAGAAAGCGTTGCGAGGGGAGAAAGGTGGGAATCGATCGCAGAAAAGTTAAATCAAGTGAAGACACTCAGTTTTCATCTCGAAGATAAGAGGGCAGTAAGAAACCGATGGGTTCTTCTCCAGAAGAAGTATAAGGCCAAGATGCATCAAGAAGACACTGCAAGTGGAATATCCGTGGACGACATGTCCGAAATAGATGTTTTACTTGAAGAACTCGCCGGGAAAGAAGAGAGCTTAAACAAAGTTGGTGATGCTAGGGTAAGAAAGCAAAAGGAAGATAAAAGCAAGGCAAAGGACGTAAGGCAGAAAGCTTTACAGCGATACAGCGATACAGCGAAACGAAAAAGCGCAGGTCAACAGAGAATGACGATGAATTCGAGGAGAAACCGAAGCGCCAGAGAAGTTATCGCACCGAACCACTAGTTGAATTCATGCAAGAGAAAGCCAAGAATGAGCGAGAATTACGACAACAAGAACTAGATCTAAGAAGACTAGAGCAAGAGCAGAATCAGCAAGTGACAACAACAAACAAATCAAGCTATTCTGTCGGTTATCCAAAAGCTTCTTAAGAAGAAACAATGACATTTTCCCCAAGTATAAACATGTAAAGTCACTGTTTATTTATTTGAACAAAAAGACGGGTATTTGTTGAAATTGATGTCTTATTATTTACTTGCGTTTTGTGAATTCGAAAAAAAAAACAAGTTCATTCATTGTTGTTGTTACAAGTTTGACTCTTGCATTGGTGACCACCAGGAATAATTCAAATACTTAATAAATTTGGGTTTAATGAAAATGGCCTCCACTTCTGCTCTGTTTACTTGAGAGAATTTATCTAAAATAATACTGCAATGAAGGAGGGTCTAGACCAAAAAACTCTGAGGTTTTGTTTCCATATAGGCAGGTAATAGCATTATTAAGTACTGCACATACAAGATATACACACACCACTCACTCCAATTTTTGGCGTTTTTCTTAAAATCCAAAAACTTGAAGTCGTTGATGATGTCTCCAAAGAGCCACTCCACAGTTACTCTAACAGAACTCATGTCAAAATTGTATTGTTCCATCATCGGTGTTAGGATACCATGGCGAAATGGTGCCCGTAGGTGTGTTCGCAGTGGATAGGCAGGATCCCCATAAACACTCATAGGTTGACCTGTTGGAAAAAATGCATTCCTTTCCAAATCCTTGAGAAGAATGGAATCTACCAACATGCTTGCATCGTGTTTTTTCCCCTCTGCATATCAAAACGGATAAATAAGAGTAATGAATTAATGAAACCCTATGTGGTAGCTTATTTTCACGGCATCCTAGTGAACATAATTAACTTACCAACAGGCCCATACATATTTCCAATAAGTCCATTTGGTAGAGCGACGGACTGAAACTTGAGTGAACGTACCCGCTTATGTCCATTGTACACCGTCGCTATTCTTTGGTGTTGGCCTGGGCGAGAAATTGGTCTGACTGTCCCATCTATAGACCCAAAGCAATTGCTGAGAGGTACACCTTTGGCATGGATAACGTTTGCATACTCCTGTAGCATTGGCAGGCTCAATATATCAAAATTCCATTATGAAATTCGATGACCATGGTTCAAAAAAATATGATCCATCACTGTGTTGGTAATCATGCTTATTTCAGGAACTGGTCTTGCAAAACGATGACTGAATGTCTGAATAGCGACATGGCATACGAGAAGCGCTTCAGAAGCATACAAAGCCCTTCCGTTCGGTCACAAGTTGTTCTTTGCGGACATCGGAAAGTGACTGGTAATTGATCAACATTTGCCAAT